GGGGTGGGGGTCTGCAGGGCTGGACATGGCACCTGGACCCTCGGTGGTGCCACATGTGCCCAGCACCAGCCCCGTTGTTGAAGGTCTCGTTTGCCTCGTGGGTAGACGGAGCCACTGGCTGTTGGCTCCTGGGGTCGTGGTGTGTCCTGCAGCGTCCGGCTGAGGAGCTGTATTGGGTAAAACCTTCCCAAATTGGGCTGCAGCCACCAGCTCCCGGCGTTTCCTCCAGGTGCACGTGCCATGACCACTGAGACAACCATGGAGATGGAAACGACCGAGACCACCACCATGGAGATGACCACGGAAACGAGCACCACCACCACCTTGCCCCCAAATTTATTCCCCAAAAGCACAGGGAGCAGGCGGCCCCAAACCTTCCCCTACGCCACAGTGTTCCCTGGCACAAACACCACGAACTTCCATTTTGGCAACAGTTCCACAGGCAGCGCCGTGTCCAACCACACTGTGGGGCCTGTCCTCCGCACCCCTGCCATCTCCCACATCAATGTCACCTCAAACAGCAGCAGCTGGGTCCCCCATTTCGGCACCAACAGCAGCTCTGCCGCTCCCACCACTGTAGATGGCAACCACAATGCCAAAAGCAACGGGAGCACCAGCACTCCGGTGTTTCCCACCCAGACAACACAAACGCCCACCGGGGGTGGCCCCAACCCCTCTGCCGTCCAGCTGCTCGTCCGTGTCCCTCTGTCCTTCCGCATCATCAACAGGAGCTTCAACGAGAGCCTGCGCGACCCGGCGTCGGCTGAGTACAGGAGCCTGAGCCGCACTGTCCTGACCATGGTGAGGGGCTGTGCTGGGGAGGAGCCACCTCACCTTGGGGTTCTCTATGGAAGAGAACATCCGCCCGGCTGGTTCTGAGTGGGGACAGGAAAAGGGGGTGTCCTCGGGGAGGTGGCCGTGACCTCAATGTTTCCTTCCAGTTCGAACACGTTTTTGGCTGCGCGGGCTGCATGGGCACGCAGACCTACACGGGGTGCAGCGAGCTGCGCTACAGGTGAGCAGAGCTGTGCCGGTGGGGATGGTGTGTCTCGGTGTTTCACCCTGCTGTGGAGCCCCTCGGGGGACAGTCTGGGTGCTGATGCCTCCTCCCATGCAGCCCAGGCTCGGTGGARGTCCAGTCCACCCTCGTGTTTGGGAACGGCAGTGACACCGTCACCCGCGACGCCGCTGAGCAGCGCCTGAGGAAGAGCCTGGATGAGAACGGCTTCATCATGGGCCTGCAGCTGGACAGCATCCAGAGTGAGAGGAGGCTGCAGGCTGGGGAGGAAGGGTGGCTGGAGCCTGGGGGGAGCTCGGGGGCTCTGTAAGCATTGCCCTGTCCTGGCTGATGCTGGGGGCTTGGTGGTGCTGTGATGGGTTCACTGTGTGTGAGGCCAATGCACATTCCCAGTGTCCGGCAGCACTGGGAAGAGCCAATGGATCCCACGCAGGAGGGCTCAGCCYCTGGTGTCCTGTCCCAGGGGTCTCTCAGGGCTCTGTCCCAGTTCTCCCCATGGTGCAGACCCAGYTCTGCTCTTTCAGGCTCTGCAGAGGTGGTGTCCCCAGCTCCAGTGCCCGTGGTCCCGGACTGGGCCATTGCTCTGTTGGTCCTGGTCAGCCTCCTGCTGCTGTTCAGCATCTTCACCTGCCTCCTGCTGATGGTGAGGCCCCATCCCCAC